AGAGGCTTGTTAATACAAAGGCATCTGTCTAGACTGATTGCCACTAAATTGGCTATTGAGGCTGTACCAGACAATACATCCATGACAGTCCAGATCTGATTCAGTAGATCTCCAAGAACCCAGGAAGGACCCGTTAAAACATACGCTACCAAGACAGGCATAGAGAACACCGCTACACAGAGATCAGTTACAGCTAGAGACACCACGAAATAATTGGTAGCTGTTCGAAGTCGAGAGAATGTTACGAACGCAGCGATCACCAGTGAATTCCCGAATATTGTTCCCACAATCAAGAGAACAGAAAACATTGATGTACCAATGCGAAATATTTGAGAAAATTCAGCGTCAAGTTTTCCACTTGTTGAGTTGTTCATTGCGGTGTTAAGACCATCTGCGCGTAATTCAGTTGAACGTAACTACTAAAAAACAGGAAATATCGGAGGTTGTTAAAGACTGTTTTTCCCTTGTAGACTGCTTGATCCCCGACTTTCTTCCGGGGATGTTGGGCATTAAAAAAACAATTATTGAAATGCGGTAGACATTGAATATATCAAATATCGTTCCATTAGCCTTTGAGCTATCTATCTCTTAAAAGTTAGAAAAATGATATAAGTCAGTTAGAAAGCTCAGGTTAATCTTTTGCAATGAAGTAAGATCAGTAATCAGGTACCAATATTGCTAAATCAGATTGGATCAGCTGCAGATGAAATCACAACTGACTTCAACTGAATTCAAAATGTGAAAAACTTATATATAGACGTAGAGTTCAGTGRTTATCGTTGGTAAGACCTATGTAGAGGTTGTATACCAGTATCGCGTTCAATCTTTTCTATGGAGATGTTGTACCATTGCATGAAGTGAAAGTAAGTTGTCTTAATATTATTAATAAACTGTAAAAATAACTACTACAAAGAGAGTACTCATCAGGGGGGGCTATTAACAAAGGATTTATATACATTTTACTTACTTCTTTACAGGTAGGTACATACAGAGTCGCCTTACACAAGACCTTGGCGGAGAAAGTAAATTATCTTTATATCCAGATTATTATAAACATGTTTTGCACGTATCCATCTTAATTCATTTCTACAGGGTGAATAAGAATTGATATTATTGATAATGATTGAAATCATGATTGAATGACTGCAAAAATAACGATAGTATCWCCCTCTAAACACCCAGATATTAGATTTGTGATATTTAGATCACACTGGGAAAACCCTGACCCCTGAAAATGATTTTATTCTTGTCAAAATGCTATTCCTTGATCAAAAACAACAGAGAGGACATAAATCGAATCGTCGATCCGTCCCCAAAACCCAAATAACATGAATAAAGAGCCTGGTCTCGATTCCAGAAAAATAACCTTGGATAGCGTGGTTACTTTCATCGCAAGTGAAACGGCACGCGATATTCTCTTAGAGAACACGTTTTATAAAATAAATAATATACTTGTCAGCCTTCTTTTCAGTATTTGATTACTTGAGAATCAATCAGTTAATCGTTAAGAACCTCTTTACGATCTTCTCAACTCGTGTTCTAAGCACGTTTTTTGTTTCTATTTATCAATAGTAAAACGAATGTCTTTTTGAATCAGGATACCTTAAAAGGACATAGGTAGGAAAGAAAAACTTTTTCTGGTAAAGTGTTCTCAAGAGGAAACTTGTACCTATAATTTTTCTACTGTTTTATGAAGCTACATGGGGAGGGAGGAAACAAATGAGCGGACCTGTTGTATATCTGTTGTTTTTTAAGCTTGATGACAAAACAATTCAATACTGCTCAAAATGACATTGTTGCGTTCATCTTCAAAGCAAAATGTTACATGTGCAAAGGCGCGAAACAGACTCTTCATTTTCAGGAAACTTTGTAAATCGTATTGGGCTGTGCTGAAACTTATATCTTGTTCATGAGAGTTCTATCTCGACAGAAGGGTAGATTACTTTTTAGTAAGTGGATTGGAACAGGATTATAATCAATTTTTGGATTAGGCTAGTGAGTCCAATTATCTTGTATATAACTTCATTTAATAATTGTTTTATTATATATTGTTTGCATTGTTATATATATTGGGCAAAAAGCTTAGTAATTGGCTGCTCACGTGATTCACTGTAGGTTGCCTGTGTGAAATACAGCCAATCAGAGGTAAGGAAAGCAAATCATTGTATCATTGGTTTAAAACCATACATTTGGCTCGGTTAGGAGTAAACGTCAACGAAACATATTATAATGATATAATGCTGTATTTGAAAATTTTAAGATGCAGAGGATGATAATCCATTAACCACCCCGAAGATCCTGTTAGATCTCACAGCAGCTTTACGACGAGGTTTAACATCAAGAAAGTCATAGTGACCTACACAGCCGTACGTCATAGAAGGCATGGTACCGACATGGAGTGCTTACATATCTGATGACGGCATCAATCATATGAAAGTATAAAATCTTTGTCGTTTTCATTATGTATGGCACGGTAGCTTTACTGTTCTTTAAGTGATGGCGGTAATCAGTAGAACAAAGCAATAGGTTATGCAATCATCGGCTTAAGGTAGGACCTCCCAGATACTAAGCCAATATCAGATATGATTAAACTCCTCATAGAGTCTGCACTATTTTACCATTTGTTTGTTTGGTGAATGCTTGCTGGTGTTTTTTTTACATCACGCTTGGGAACCGCAGAAATTCTATATCGATTAACTAATTGTTCATTAACAAAGGTTTTTGTCTCAGTTTATATTTATCACTATCAACGTGCGTTCATTTGTTTTAATGATGAGCACAACTCACATCTATACATACAGTACGACTAATAAAGCAACAGAATTAATAGTAATGACAAGAATATAATAATAATAGGCTATTTAAACATATTTAATTGAAAAAAGTAACAAACATTTATAAAAAGTTTGAGAGAGTTCTTCACGTCCAACATCGAATAAGGAACGGTTGTCAGGTTAGCGGGTGTTGAGACTGATGTGTAKGTGTGTCCTTTAGGACTGCATATATAGAATGATTTTAACAATAAAAAAAATTCATTTTGTGCTTAGCCGATCMTTCTTCGTTATATTTTTGTTTCGTTGTGGAAGGTCAAAAGAGCAGGAGCGCTGTACGTGAGCACTAAATATGCTAAAACTTTAATCGTATTGAGTTTCCTTTACTAAAAGGCTTTTTTTGTGGGTAAAAAGATATACACATAGTTGATGTTGTGCTAATCTCTTCAATTACTTGCTGTTACGTATCTAAACCATTTTTTTAATTTTATTTGCATTTCATGTTTCGTTTATCCTCAAAAGAGATTATATGTCTTATATTGGATTACTGTGAACACCCTTGAAGCGCGACCATCTTTTTTGAGCTGTCAGCCGCGTYAAGACCAGGTTGGAATTACCGGCGGCGATTTTTTTCAGTGAACGAATTATTTGCCGCGAACTGTTGATTCATCTCATATCATTTGTAGCATATAACTAGTTTTATATACTGTGATCATCCGTCTGCAACTGATGCTTTTGGGTTATTGTTTCAGTTGAAACATCAATGAGCTCTTTTTGTTTTGGTAAAAATATCCTAATGTTGTGATTGGTTAGTTGAGTAGCACCTGCTTTCATCATAATAAAGTTGTTTTGAAGCAAAGTGTCTATGACCCAAAGGCTCGTCGTCGTAGCCGGGCCTTTCCTCTCTATTAACACTTGGCACTAACATGAAAATTTGAAACTCGTAACATCATTAAAACCAGACCACAAGGAGTCATCGTATCAGCTTGTTATGAAATGGTCAACAACACGTATTTTTTGTTTTGTAAGATTATGATTAGTCGTGTACAGGTAATGGTCGGTTTCCGTGGGTTGCCAGATATCGCTGGCGACTTATAATCGATATAATGAACAAAATAACAATTCAGCTCCAGACACAAAATAACGTCGATGCTATTTTTCTTTTTAGGAATATTCTAATTTCTAATTCTAGACTAACAGCACAGGCAGCTAAACCATTCATCCCATGTTTACATATCAATCTTAGATTGACTTAAATGTATTTTTATACTCTACCCATGAAGCAGATAAAAACTTCGATCCTTTATCTACAAGACCAAATATAATGGACTGCAAAAAGATTTCTTCGTTTAAGAAACTGGTGTGTATCATGGATACATGGACTCTAAGTCTGTGTCATGAGACCTTATGGCAAGGGGTTATTATACAAATGTAATTTAATATTTCATTCAAAAACGAAATAGAAATAATTAATAGACCTTAATAAAATGTATAGAACATTTATAAGCTGGAGTTATTGATATCTTAGGTAAATGTTTTTCTATTTTTTAGCGGTAAACAAAACGTGTAGCTGACATTCTGCACGACTATCTCAAACTAGAGTATCTACAGTTGAATAAGCAACTATATAGTACATCAGTACACTTGTAAGCGTGAAACGTTTTAATAATTTAAGTGCTAATGCAAGGTCCCTTGTTTCTCTTGCCTCGCACTAATAGACCAGTATTTTTTCATGCTTTTTTAGTGTTTTTAATCTGACCAAACTTTGCTGAACAGCGCAATCTAGTGTTAATTTATCCAAGGTGTCTCTCCAGCTTTCCTCCTTTTTTATACTTTTGGGCTACCTGTTTTCTTCCGTAGTTCGGTAGAAGCTAGTAGTTTTTCAGTTAATGTTTTAGTATGTGCACTCTAGCAGTTAGTAAATGCAGTGTAGATCGGACAACAGAAAGTATTTGCATGATTCGTTACAACGTAACACCACTTAATTACAATTTTATGACTTTTGCACACTAGTGAAGCTTCTTTATGCTTTTATTCTATTTCCTTTTGTCACAAGATTGTATTCGAATTTGATGACTGCCCACTTGTTGTAAAACGCCCTCAGCTCAAAGTAAACTCTTCTGTCGTGTTGATAAAACAACCATTAGCACTTATCGTAATGTACCGCGCTCATAACTGAGAGTCTCAAGAACAACATAATAAGAACTGAAAAAAATAAGCAAGGAATGGCATTCACCAGAGACACTTTGAAAGAAGTATTACACATTACTGAGAGCACTTTTAATTTTACTATTTTTATTCCATCTGTTTGACTTTTTTTTCATTTGATTATGCTCAACGACTGTGCAGCGCAATGGGATTAATCATTTGATAATAACTATTAAACAATCATTTTACATGCGAGGCATTGGGCACTGTTATCATAATATCATATTAGAATTAAGAAAAGAAAAGCTCTACTGTATGTTCATTAAGCCCTGTTTAATGCTATTAACTCCTTTTTCATACATGACTATTATATTAGAATATATTCATATTTCATATTTTTTTACGCGTTTGAAATAGGTGGACTATTTGGTTTCGATCAACATACATTATTTTCAATGAAACATTTAGCCCTAAAACCTAACAAAAAAATCGAAATTTCCGAGAAAACTKTTTAATAAGCTGAAAAGAACCGGCATTGTTTGCAAATGCCGGCTTCTTGAAGAAATGGATCTAAAAACATTGTGAAAATAGTGCAATTTCAATGTAAGAAATACAAATGCTACGAGAAAGCTATCGCATAAATGCCAACTGATCTTGTAATATGTGCCATTACCACCAATATCTGTACACAGGGTCCTCCTAAGCTAAATGTACTTTTTATCGTCATTTTAGCAAGTAGTGCTTTGATGACGTAAGACCAGGCGAACTTAATACTTTAATGTAGTTTACGTCATTGGAAGTACGAGTGGAGTAAATCACTGATGGCTGCACATATCTACATCATATTAGRAAAATATTGAGAAACTTTCAATCATATATGTTCTCTGTACAATTGTTGCGAACTTGAATATGTTTGCACTTTAAATCCTTCGATGTTTGTGTTCAGTCTTTTTGTCCACTCTCAGATAGAGATAGAGTTGCTGTTCTCGACAATTACCGGCCGTTACTTAGAAATGAGGTGTGTTGCTAATTAATAAAGGACAGGCCTCTGAAGGGCAGTTTTTATTTCAAGTAAAGGAAATTCAGCTGACAGAATTTAAACGAGCTCTATTTATAGCTTCGTCAAATCGAAGGAAATCAAGTCTTTGTTGTGTTTGTTGGAACTCGTCTTTTGAGGGATTTGAAGTGACAATTTGACGCGCAATGAGTGGGTGCACACCTATTAAAAGGATATCTAACATAGCAAAGAAGGATGTTCTTGCAATCAAATAATGCAATGGACGTTCCGTGCTTTATTGTGYTCACTATCGGTCTTATCGTCCAGTAACTTGACGTAGTTTATTCATTTACAGACCCACATCAGAGCAGTGTACATGTTGCTWTTTCTTTATTGACTTAAGCGCTCGTGACAGGATCTAAACAGGTGCAGCCCTATAGTTTCCTGTTTTGTGCTGGATCGATAACCGCTTTAAAAGAAATAAAGATATCTAGAGTCATCACTTGTCCTCCAAATCCAACAGCTCAACTAAGAAGGTAAGCTTTCAGTATTGCCTCTGATGTTGTGAATGATTATTGATCGTGTTTTAGTTATAAGTATTTGCTAATTTTAATTGTAYTAGATATTTGGGAACTTTGAGATTAGTTATAAAACGAATAYCCATGTACATGAACTACTCAAATCCACCACGATACGCACTAAAAAGGCTATAATGCTGAAGATATTCAACTCTTCAACATGATAAAATGAAGAGGTTGTACAGAGAAAAAAATGAAACTGAAAATCARAGAGRTTTCTACTGTCCCTAGGAACAATGAATAAGTTAGGTATAACTTTAGTAGACGAGTGTAAGATAGTATTAAGATAGTATTAATGCAAAAAGTKGTATAAATGAACAAAAGGATCACGATTTTGTTATGTTGCTTTGACTTTGCCAGTTTCATTGTCTTATAGACCTATCTTCACATCATTGTTTTAGCAGCAACACAACGGATGAATCACAAGTATCAACATTATCAAGTCTWTTTTTTCTTTTACGTCGAAAAATGAAAAGGTCTCTTAAGACCAACCTGAACTTTATTTCAATMGSCTCAGCTAATGTTGACAACCTGGTATATATGTTGCGTTYACTGTTATTTTGTTTCAAAAGGACCTTTCTCATAGCTTAAAACCAAACGCTTTTAATRCATATCATAAYATTTGTGTTTATCGAAAGAATCCTTTWWWWAAAAARAAACTTACGTTAAATGTGCCTTCTTTGTGTTCCGGTGATTGCCAGCCTACACAAAATGATTGCATAATAACACTGAGTATAGACTCTGAGTCTTGTGATCCCGAATATGAAAGATTGTTTTTTCAGGCTTTTAGTTTTATAAGCCTTTTCTGACGCTCAGTCAGAATCTTGTTGTTCTGTTTGCACTTATAGGGGCTGTGTCCGTCTCGGGCCCGGTCCCTTCCTTGTCATACTGTGAAGTACTTTAGCGGTTATGCGTGCGGTCAAGTACTTTTTTATTGCTTTTGCTCATTTCGTCTCATATTTTAGTGCTTTACGATATACATCGCCTGCAGACTCATTTTTCTAGGATCACTTGTCGCGGTGTCCATTACGCCCGTCATTTTGAATTCTTGGTTTTTCAGTTTAATACATAAAATTTACATGACTCAACAAAAAACTAGAAAATCAGAATTATCGTATACAAGACGAATTTTTATATGACTTGCATGATAAAAATTGTGTGCGCAATCTCGCGTCAACTGTCGATTATTGAGTGTATCAACAAGTCTATATTTGGTAACCATTAGACTATTTGAGTAAATCCGCCCTCGGCAGCTTTCTGAGTCTTGCTTACACTCAACGCCTTATTCCTCGATCACAAAGACTACTTTGGACGATGTGTTTATTCAATTTGTGAGCGAACCGGCCTCACACAGAAAAAAATACTCATTTTTTGTAAAAAAAACGTCTAAAATTCTCATAAATTCAAAATGGTGACCATTGAGCGTGTCAATCAATCAATCAATCAATCAATCAATCAATCAATCAATCAATCAATCAATCATCAATCAATCAATCAATCAATCAATCAATCAATCAATCAATCAATCAATCAGACAATCAACCAAGCAATCAGTCAATCATTACGTTTAGATGCTGTTATCATATCTTTTTTTAATAATTACCTTTGATATTATTTTTCTTAGGTTAACTTTTAGTTCACAAAAACTCTAGAATAATTAATTCTAAAATCCGAACTCTGCAAAATGCTTTAAAGGATTTGAAGGCAATTAACGTTTTTTTACACACTCACTCATCATCTCCAAATAAAGAAATATGCTTTCAGCTAATGTTTCAAGTTTCCTCTCAATTACTAAAATCCAAACAAATCAAGATCTTAGTTTAAAATGGACACGTCTGAAAAGTTGCCAAATTGTGTTTTCTGTGTTTTGGTTGCACAAAAAAGAAGCATAATGACTTTAATGACTAAACTGAGAAAAGACCACGTAGCATTAAGTAGCAAGACGTTTACAAGTCAAAGCAGCCGCTTCCGCACGGACAATGCATGAAATAGCACTAAAAAATCCATTACTTAGTCTGCTCCCATTGGAATTGATATGTGTTTTTGTGGGATATCACATCAAAGTAAGTACTACGGTCTTTAATATTTTATCACGCTTTTTTATTCTTTAAGTGCCACGAATTTCTTACTTACTCTTTTATTTGAAGAGGGCCATCGTCGTAAAAGATAAGTCATGGTTCATTCTTATAGAGTGAATTTCCTCGTCGAGAATACTCTGTGAGTGCCGCCAGGGAAGCACCGCAGTGACAATATAGAAAACCACARTGCCTTTTAAATGGATATAGTGTTGTTAGCGAGAAAAAGCGAGAAAATAGTCGTCATTCAATTTCCGTTGGTGTCCCTTTTTGACTGATATATTTGCTATAAAATCAATCTTCAGTGATGGTCTGATTGGATTTAGCGAGGAAACATATTCTAAGGTAGAACAATTTGTCTTTACTCAGTTYGTGTTCGTTTCAGATATTTTAGTATTTCTTAAATCTCATTTAATTTGAATCTCACTTAGTACTGATTAAGTAGTATAGTCTTTGAAGTATTTTGAATTCACGTAGAATTGTTACCTAATGATTAACCAGAAACGGTYGATGATCTGATCATCTTATCATTGACTCGTAAGGCCAGTCCMATCTTTGTCCGGATCATTATACTAATGCCATATAATTTTCTTCGTCATGTTACCATCATTCCTAAAATTCATAGAATTTTCTCTGATGTTTGTTAAAACAATTGAATTGTAGAAGAGTGCAAACACCGCGAATTGTGTTCTTTCTTTCAGAAATATCTACACGGCATGAACAACTCAAGCAACAGCCCAATAAAAACCTTCGCAGACCAGTTTCGCATTGGTACATCAATGTTTTCTGTTCTCTTGATTGTGGGAACAATATTCGGGAATTCACTGGTGATCGCTGCGTTCGTAACATTCTCTCGACTTCGAACAGCTACCAATTATTTCGTGGTGTCTCTAGCTGTAACTGATCTCTGTGTAGCGGTGTTCTCTATGCCTGTCTTGGTAGCGTATGTTTTAACGGGTCCTTCCTGGGTTCTTGGAGATCTACTGAATCAGATMTGGACTGTCATGGATGTATTGTCTGGTACAGCCTCAATAGCCAATYTAGTGGCAATCAGTCTAGACAGATGCCTTTGTATTAACAAGCCTCTYATGTATTACCAGTATATTACAACTACCCGTGTGCAAATCGGCATTGTTGTCATCTGGGTATACTCCGTTACCATGGCAATTACCAGCTACTTTATGCGACCTTACCGAGTTTTCAATTTCGTTGCATCGGTGATGTACTTTTGGGTTCCTCTTTTGATCATCATCACAGCTTACTCGATCGTCTTCAGGGTAGCACTACAACAAGTCAGGCGGATTAGCGTGGCCAACGTGGAACCTTCACAACGAAGCTCTAGTTTACATCAAAGATACAGCTTCGTCCGTGAGTTTAAAGCTGCGAAAACTCTTGCTGTCGTAGTGGGTGCTTTTGTAATTTGCTGGCTTCCATTTGTGGTRATCAACGCGATTTACAGCATATGCGATGATTGTCCGTACATAAGCACAATCCCTATTCTAGTTACCAAATGGATGCATTATGGGAACTCTCTGCTAAACCCACCGATATACGGGTTTTTGAACAAGGACTTTCGCGTTGCATTTAAACACCTCATTTGCTGCAAAGAAATTGCATATAGGGGMGATCAATTTACAGAGAATGCAAACGGTAAAACACGCATTGTTCCTAATACAGTAGAACTGCATATTGTTAACCAGGCTTAATCAAATAGAATACTAAATAGATGGGATCTGAAATAAGTGAACTCAATGTCAAATACAGACAGATTATAGAAGTGGGAAAAAAATATKTTTTCCAGCTCGAGTCAGTGTTGCATCTGCTTATCCTCCMCCMAAAAAATCGTCKGAAAAGGTTAAGTGTATTTTGTGCGCCAGCCTAAAAAGACAGCAYTTGGGAATATACAATGRTCATAGGTATATTTTATTAGATCTGCATTCGGGAAAAGGCGTCAGAGGAGAGGACTGCGTGGGAGTGAATAAGGYCGTCATGGGCTACGAACTCRTTAGTGACAATAGCTAGCCTCAGGGGCGATTAAAATATTTGTTGCAAAGCACTATTGGATCTCATTATGAAATTCTGTTGTGTGATCATTCACTGAAATTGAAAAGGAGGCGAACACGGCTTATTTTCCGTGATTCTCTTTATACATTAAAYCTTACAAAGCACAATGTTGTTTGGTTACAGTCAGAGTCGCATACAGCTAGGAATAGAGAGATGGCATACCTTATCGGACCGACATTGCAAGGACCATTGATATCGAATAAAATAATGTTTGAATCTAAGGTAGCAGTATTGGTGCGGTCAATCAACTACTGAAATCCAGACATTATTATAAAACTGAAATTTGAATGACTTTCTTTTGCATCGTCAATGAACTTGCACGAATTGTTTACGAATATAAACATTATCATTACTAAAAATAAATGAGTCCTCTGCGTTTACTAGTGATATTTTTAATACCGAGCTTTCGGCCTAAGCGGCCATTATCAAGGTAGAGTACAMGTAAGATTTTAAACAACGCAAAAAACGGAAAGCGCGTGAGGAAACATAGCAATACAGCGCGAGCTGTTCATTCTGATTGATAAAAGCCGTTTATTAAATCGTGACAGGCAGCATTTAAACATCTTATGGGTTTTGCCTCGCGATGTGTCATCTCGAACAGTTTCATGGAAAGAGGATCATTTTTGTTCATTCCGGATCACGGAAAAATAGTATTGCGTATAGGAGTTCATTATGATGTCTTAGTCCTCAGATAGATTTCCTTCATGATGTAACTCACATGAATGCTATTAATTCGATAATAAATTCTTTTAAATGCTATAATGATGCTATAAGCGGCTTACGTTGCCGCTGATCTACTTTTAATCATGTAGTAAAAGGGACTTTGAAATCTTGGCCATTATCAGGTCTTAAAACAAGGATTGCAATGTAACTTGCGAAAACGCTTAAACCTGCAGTTGTACGTACGAATTAAAAATTGATTGTCAACAAAAACCATAACATGGTCGTTATTATAATTTATCGTCACTACCCCACCCCCTCTATTGTATTTTTTTCGATTCTTTTGACATATTTGCTTGAKATATTGGGAAGCAATGGGAATGCAAAAAAAAGAAGAGAACCGAATGACAAGGAATAATGGTTCCAGTGTSTTTCTAATCATTCATACAATATCAAATGTTATTGATCCAACGCACATATACACCGAAATAATACAGATATTATAGCTCACTTGTATTAGTCGTCMCTGTGTCTAAAATCTTGCTTCATGTGTAAAAGAAGCCGAAAAAAMGACTCATGGCCTGAAGAGGYAGTGTTGATGGGTCGCCATTCTTGCATAATCAAAATCCCGGGAGCGATTTTACAATGCTACAAACCTAGCTTCCAAAAAACTAAAAGAACGTATGTTTATRAGCCTATATTGTTTAAACAAACTTACAATAGTGRGATATTGTRGGSCTCTTGTGGTGTCCATTTTGTAAAWTTTAAAGAGAATTTTGATCAAATGTCAGCTTTACTTAATATCTCCTGGGAGCGATTTTCAGAAGTACTAGATAACCGGCAGCTGAGAAAATAATTCATAATTCCAATCCTTCATAATCATATGATTTCGGCATACGGATGTTGATAAAAATRGAATGCAATAAACCATTAAACTAAACGGCCACTGCTCACGGCATAAWTTTTTCACCCTGAGACAAAATAAACACTGAATTACTATATAATATGCTTCACTTAGATAGTAAGTTTCAATCATAGCCATCAGAGATATGTTTTTCACAATGAATCWATAGCCAGCCGTTTTGGCCTGGTTTCACGAATTCATTTGTACTTTGTCACTGTTACCATCAAAGGCCATCGTTGATAGTACGACTATAAATACCTTCGACCTAGGGCGGTCTCCTAAAACGACCAAAAAACAGCAGTTGTTRGAAATTCTCGTCATTATCATTCACTGATTTCGAGCCCTAAACGGGGCGACGAGCACCCCCGGTCCCTTTCATAAGTAAGTTGTCTCGTATTCATTAATTATTCATGAGGTATCCAGCTAATCCTCGATTATGATTTCATATCTTGTATTCTTCCATATTTCAAGTTACTTTTACATTATTTCCATCTACTACTAGCAGAAGTACATATGGTTATGTACTTCTGCTACTAGCTAATGATAATCAAAGTATTAGAAATAAGCAATTTAACATTAATTTAGTGAAAAAAGGTCTTTGATACATGACTGCCTCAAGACTCAATCCCCTACCGCCCAGTCTATATGCTTCGTCTTATAACCATTACACCACCGAGTTTCTGATGCGATTTCTCGAAAGATAACATAACTATAAATCTTATGGCTCATTAGGAATGCCATAGTCGACTCATTCACGTGATAGTAGACT